CTGTATCCTCTGTATCCTCTGTACCCTATCGTTCTTCGGTATCTTGCATAGGAGACATCAACTAGTTTCATCTCTTATCTCCTAGTCTAAAGGCACTTGATTCGTCACCAAGTTTTCAACCAAGACGTAACAAGCCGGACGTAACAATACCCCGAAACGCGGATAAAAGAAACATCACACAGTCGTGTGAAGATGTACGCGATTTTCCCTCGTTTTATTCACGTATCGTGCAAAATCGTTGGATAACACAGTCACCCTAGAATGAAATCTATACAACATTATGTAAATATTTTTATAAAGTTAATTTATCGCATGTGCTATCATTGTGTCGTTAGAAATACTGTGTAAAATATCTCACGCTTATCGTGTGAATTTTTTTTCACCGACAGATATAAACAATCTGTTTTATGGATATCTTGAAAACTAATGGATTTGCTGAGAAAATAGTTGACAATAAAAATAGAGATTAAGAAATTTCTTAAAAAAATATTTTATACATTTTGCTTCTACAGTGAATAGTTTACAAGTAACATCACGTGAGAACGTCTGAACATTGGTTTGCAAGAATATCGATATATATATATAAAATTGAAATTGATGCTTGTGAGTTGAAAAGTCAAAGAAAAAGTGTAACCAACGCGTACAAAGTACATAGTTGAAGAGAAAACCCTACAGTACCATTCGTATGAAATTTGAAACCATTTTAAACTCTATTTTGGGAACCAATTGCAACAGATAAACTGTTTCATCTTCGTGCACCCATGATTTAACATAGAATAGAGTAGTTCCTGTTTACTATTCGAAATAATATTTTACATAGCTCCGACTCCAATAAGGTTACCTAACGATAATCTGACTCCACGAGATTAGCTGCGGAAAATTCTACTCCCGCGAGAAAGTAAATAACCTCGCTGCTGGGAAAAACGCCTCTACGGGAATGTCTGATCGTGACGATCGGAATCTACTTCGGCCGGAGAGATAAGCGCGTGGCTGACTTGCATCAGCATTTTCTACTGTCAATCGAGACGACCGATTCGCGTTTCCGGTGAACGCAAGCTTTGTTCGATAGGTGAACGCAACGAGATCGGCGATCAGCCAATTCTCACGTTCCAATTCTAACTAATTGTTGGTCAAATATGGACGAAAACAGGTGGCGAAACAGATCGCCGAGAAAAACGAAGGTAGAAGGAAAATTAATATTTTTTTTGGGGATTACTACTAGTTATGATTGTAAATGCTTTTGGAAAAGGGACTTTACGATTGATTTTTTCTTTATACAGATTTATTTAAAATTGCTTCAACAACTGAGATCTTTCGCGACTACTAGAAATTACAAACTTTCATACAGATACATATATTCAATTTGTTCTATTCTAAATGAAAATTGATACAAGTATTTATGTGTCTATCGCAACTATACTGACAGGTGCAATTTATTATTGAACCACATGCCTTGAAAATCCTTTAATAATAAATATAGCAAAATTGCTACATTATGTGTCTACTGTAACTAGTCGTGTAATTATCGATTCATCTGTCGCCAACATTACGATTGAGTTTCATGAGCGACTTGTAACTACTAATCTCGTTTCAAGTAATTTCGAAATCGACATGTATTCAAGTATTGGTTACAGAAAGCAACGCTTAAAAACACGTCGTGCGTGCTTGTATTTTTTAAAAACAGACATGAACAACTTTCATAATGAGAGGCTCGTTTATTCAAAACTGCAACGTCGATACGAAGAAATACGAGGAAATGAAAGCTCGCTACGCTAGCCTGTTCTGCATTTGAAGGCTATCGGGTTTTGCAACTACGCCTCCGGTTCACTGCCGACGCGACGTGAAAAATCGTAAACAGTCTCGTCGAAGGAAAACAACGGAAAGCTATTAATTTTGGTGAAATAATTTCAATTTTTTCCACTGCTCCAAACACTGATGGTTAATATAAAGTAATTGTAGCCATCAGTTGCTCTGAAAAACATGGTTTACTACAGTGAAATAATAAAATTCAATCTAGCTAGAAAATTTGCATAAATTCCAACCTGAGAAGCTTGAAGCTATGCATTTTCGAACCATGATACAATTAAGAGATCGAATCTATCGAGCAACTGGTCGTGCCAGCGTCTCTTCCGGTGACCTTTAGCGCGCTCAGGATGACCGTTATGTGTGTCGTAACGTAACGTAATTTACCGTAAGGTAACGTTACGAGTGTCGCGTTCCGTGAACGACTCGATATAAAAAGGGGAATCCTCCATTGGAGAAAACATCTCCGATCGTCGTTGCGAAGGCGGCATACCGCTACGCGGCTAATTTATTCCAATGGAAAATGGCTATGACATTCGCACGATTCGCCGAGCTATTCCAACAACGATCGAATTTTACGACGCTTTTGGTGACAGAGATGCGTTAACGGTTAAACGTTACAGCGCGACCGTTGCGCGACGCGATATTTTAGCAATCATTTAGCCGGACAAGATTGGTGTAGTTGCTGAATACTAGCCTCCCGTTAGTTTCACGGACTTTTCTCCGCAGGGAAAATGTAATCGTGCGTGAATCTTACATCTGTCCGATCATATTCTTTTATTTCAAATAAAATCTCTCCAAGTCTGGAACAAACGTACAGTTTATATCCAGTTGCTGGAGTCGCTCGGTACATGTTTTGCCAGATCGAAATCGTTATCCAAGTCCAATTGTGTTCGCTTAGATCGCTATAATAGCACGCTGCGCGATGTTTCCGGATGGAACGAAGACGCCGGAATTTCCCAGCGCGTCTGAGAACTCGCGCGCTCGTTGTGACACGAGCGAGGAAAGCATTAACGAAACTTGTGTAACGCGAACGGCACGATTCCCCCTAGACTCTAAAGTCCTCCAGCCGTTTTTCTCGTTGCTTTTACGCGATCGCGAGCCGTCTGCGAACTGGAGCGCGATACGGCACGGCGTTTAATTAACGCGAAAATATGCCTCGGACCGAGAACGATCGAGCAGAGTGGTCTACATTTTTGAGCGGAAACCGAGACGACGCGTAGAAAATTCCCCCCTATCGATACATCGAAACAATCTTGAGATCTCTTGAGAATACGTAATATTAAATAAATTTGAAATTCTTAGTGAGCCCACAGCAATTACCATTTCCATGTTCTTGGAACTCTGGAACTTCCAAGACCATCATGTTTAAATTTAAAAAAGAAATAATACTTATTAAATTAACCATCGTAGTTAACCATACAAGTTAACCATTTTACCACGTACCTTACATAGTCCTAGTGTTAAGAAAACTAGGCAGTTGTATTACTTCAAAGTAAATTTACGAATATCTATACGAATTAATTTCAACGAAGTGGGTGCAAGTATGGACTTTCCTTTCCTTTTACACGACTATTTGACTATAGTCTTTTCAGGATAATTAGTTTAAACCTTCGAGAAAATCCTGTTCCCTTAACGAGAGTACGCTCGAAAAACTGTGTAAATTAGACGCAGAGAGAGAGAGAGAGAGAGAGAGAGAGAGAGAGAGAGAGAGAGAGA